ACGCACTTTCATCTCAGGACCTATAAAAGCTGCGGGGCTGAAATTTCGGGAACTTGATCTACATGCGCTTGCCGGTATCCCCAAAATGGGCGCCAAAACCCGCGTGGTACCCGCGTACGGGCCCGCCAAAGTTTTTTTGGGGGCAGTTCATAACTCGAGGATCTGAGAAGCTAGAAGGCTGAAATCTTGGGATAATGTTCCACGCCCAAGCTGCTATTAGTGGGCTCAAACCCAGCCCCCGGGTAAGAGTGGTACCCGCGTACGGGCCCCCCAAAATTTTTCCCGCGCAAGTTCATAACTCGGGGTTCTGAGGAGCTAGAATGCTGAAATCTTAGGGAGATGTTCCCCGTCCAGGTAGGTACCAATGAGCTCAAACCCATCCCCGGGGTAAGCGTGATACTTACGTGCTGGTCCGTGAAAGTTTTCTTCCACTAAATTGCTAACTCAGGAGTCAGAAAAGCTAGGAAGCTGAAATTTTAAGGGGATGTTTCCTGGCAGTTCTGGCGGCCAGTCTTAATTTGTTTAGCTAGAAGCATTTGCCGAAAAAACCGGTGCCGGTAGGAACAAAAACTGCAAAAAACCCATCTTCGCACGGGCAGCCCGTGCGAAGGCCAATTATTTTTAAATACTTTCTTTACTTTCTAAATTGTTGAAAAAAATCTTCAGGCGTGTTTGGAGATGCTACAGGATGGCAAAAACCATCTGGTTGTGGATGACCGGGATGTGGTACCATTAGTTGATGCCCAGTTAACGATTATTCGTGCACTAATTGAAACAGAGGCAACCACTGATGAACTGGCCTCCATATGGCATTTCTTATTTCTTTCCCATCCAGCAGCTCTCACATACATCACATACGGCTCCGTCAACCACAGCCATTCACTCGACGAAGTGCCCATCCGGCAAGGTTACTTTTTTAGCATATTTTCTACATAATGGAGATTTTTTGCTATGGCAGCATATATTCCTGGTCTGATTGTGTTTGAGATCTGGTGTCCCTGGAAGCTCATTTGCAGTGCCATTTTTTTGCTAGTAATAATTTTTAATTTCCTACTATTTTTTTCTATTTTTGCTGCTAATAGAAATGAGGAAAGGTAGGCTGAAAACTATATAAGTGGACTAATGTGATGTGCATTTAGTCGTT